GCTTCTTGTTGAAGTCTCTAGTCATCTATTTAAGAAAACCTAGCATTTCATTCGTCCAATTTATAAAAATTCAAACTAAAAAACAAACTTTTACAGGCTGAAAAAGAAATCTTGAAATAATGTCAGTTTTGTTAATAACTGAGTTAATTGAAAAACGTAAACTTTCAGACTGGAGATAACTGTGTCAAAGCTATTTTTTGGGGTTTTTGGCCGTGGTATACAGGTTGTTATGCCTGACATTTCGTCTATTACTACGGTAGACATATTTAAAGACGATGAGGTAACGGTCGAAGTGCTCGAATTCTTCCTAACGCAAAAACTACTGAAATTTGTCTCTGGTTTTATATTATCATAAGTGGGAGTGGCTTTGTTTCTCTTGATTGGATTACCTGAGGTTTTTTGTGTATAATTGAGGACAGGTAGCCAGATTTCATTAATATTCATTGCCTCTTCTTTTCTATTGAAATTATCCTTGTGTTTCTGAAATTCTATTGCCTCTCTATATATATTCTTGGATAGAAATCCAGACGCACAAGGATCATTACAGTATAAAGAAAGAGGCAATAAACATTAATGAAATCTAGCTACCTGTCCTCAATTGTACACAAACAAAGTCAGGTAATCCAATTAAGAGAAACCAATTCTCGCCCACATATGATAATATGAAACCGGAGACAAAATCCAGCATTGTAGTTTTTGCGTTGGGAACAACTCGAGCACTTCGACCGTTACCTCATTGCCTTTGATAATGTCTACCACATTAGTAGACGAAACGTCAGGCATTAAATGAAACCGTTTTTGCCTGTGGTACCAGTGAGAAAATTAGATATCGAAATGCTTGAAAAGTTGGTAGTTGGTTGGCGAGCCCATACCTTTGAGTTACAGGATAATAAATGTTTGGAATTGATCACGTTAAATGAAGATAGGTTAGGTTATGTTAGGCGTACAAGAAGAGTACTTATAAGGCAGTTCGTAGTGTTCGTAGTTGACAGTTGAAGGCATAAAGTCAGAGGTCATTCCCAGAATGTCAACCAGAAGAGAGCAAATTTTCTATTCAATATAGAAAGGAAAATAAGAGATTATGAAACAATATGAATAATTTTTTTTCTATTTCCAAAAATTTTTCAGAAAAGGAAAAAATAAGTATTTTCAAAAGTAATTTATATCATTTGAAAGACATTTTTCTTGCTGTTTTTTAAGTATTTTACCCTTCCAAGTCTGAAAAATAAACGAAAGTAAATCAATAGAGATCTGCAAAATTCTAATGAAGGGCAAAGTGGAAAGTTCACTACATAAAATTACTGTTCAATGTGAAACAGATTTTCTATTGATTTAGGTTCATTTTTCAGATTGTGGAAAGTTAAATACAGCAATAAAAAGAATTCATATCAAAATGAAAAGGAAACATTTTTGGGAAAAAAGTTTTTTGGCTTTCTACTTATCCACCATTGAACTGAACATGTGGAAACTTTCAAAGAAAGGAAGAAAGAAAATAATTGGAATAAAAACTCCTTATAAAGATATATAGATCATACACAAGTTTCTTTCAGATACAAACTGAAAGGAAAAAATCTTTGAAACAACTACTTTCACATAGAGATTGAATTACGGAAAAGGAAAAAGTCCTTTTAAAACAACTAAGTACTTTCATATGAACATTGAATGACATGAAATGATTCATAATGGTTCATAATCTCTTACTTTCCTTTCTATGTTGAATATTTGAAATTTTGCTATTTTAACGTGATCAATTCCAAAAATTGAATGTTCTGTAGTTCGAAGCAAAAAAGATTCAGAAAGCTAATTTTTTCAACCTTCATTTCATTCAACATTTATTGTTTAGTATAGGTTCAAAACAATCTCATACTGTAATCAAAAACACATACAAAATTACATTTGAATGACATTTTGATAATAATAATAATGAAGTCATTTATTCATGATTATAAATAACGCCAATACAAGTAAAAATGATATAAATGGATGAATAAATAACCGATAATCGAAAATAAACTTAAAACTTCTGTGTAATTGATGATTTGTTTATTTTGTGGAAATTAATGATCACTTCAATGAAATAAATGGAAACACTAATTTCCAATAGTTATTTTAT